TCTGTGGCAGCACATGACAAAAACACTACTGGATGAGCGAGAAATCCAACCGGCCTCTGCATTAAAAGCCAGGTTAGGTCAGGAGTCACAACCCAAATGATAAGAAGAACCATTTTGTCTTTTCAACAAAAATCAAACCACCTTGGGAGCCACAACATTTAATGTCCGGTATGTGATAATGTCCTAGTATAGGCTAAACGATATAAACCAGAGCGCAGATTTACTTTGCTCTGCTTTAAGCTTTAGCCGCTTCCCTCCCCTTTTCGACAGGAAAATTCTACTCAAAAGTAGAGCAGCTTATTGTAAAATGTCTCTCAACATTCAGCTGTCTTACGAAGCTGAAGTCGCTTCTTATTCTCCAGCTTCTTGTTCGAATTTTCCCGTTCCATCTTAAATTCTGACTGAGGCACCTGAATGTAAATGCACCATTTAAGGTGGAACGGGAAAATTCGAAAGAGAAGCTGACTTCAACTTCGCAACTTTTTAGTGTTTGACAGTCTCTTGTTGCCGATTTAACTTGCCAGGAAACCAACTGCGCTGCTTATAAATGCGAATAACGCATCATTGTCATCATTGTAATGAGCAAAATTGTCCACAGGAGGGTAGACTTCATCTAGTCTTTACTGAACACTGAAGCAGTTTTGTTCAATCTTAAGTGGACATAAAGAGAAGAACAGTGTTAAACATGCTTAAAAAACGCAGACTTGGAAATCAAATACTTTTAGTTTAGCATTGCCTGGTGGTCTGAGACTTCAATTTTTTTTTTTTTTTGTCTTATGTTGTTTTTTGTAGCACAAACAATCAGGACAGACACTGTAAAGACCTTCACATTAGATTTTATCTCAGGTGAATGAGGATACAGTTTGGTTTCATAAGCAACATTAGACCTTTATGTTAAAAACATTTATTTTTCAACAGATGAAGAAAGTGGTGACCAAAGGTCGAGGAAGAGGAAATTGTTGTAAATAAATACAGCATCTCGTTAATTATTTAATAACTTCATGTTCTACTTCATGTAATGATGAACGGCTAAAATATGTGTCCAGTTTATGATGTTAAAACCTGCATTGCAAAAGTTATTATGCAAGTATTTCAGTTTCACTGATACAGAAGCTGTGTGACTCTACTGTGTCCTGAGGTCCACTGTGACTAAACCACATCCACAGCAGTACATTATATCTGTCAAATTTAATTGTGGTTCCATGGTGTAATGGTGAGCACTCTGGACTCTGAATCCAGCAATCCGAGTTTAAATCTCGGTGGGACCTTCTTGTCTTTTTGGGGGCAGTCGTGGGCTGGAGGTTAGGGAACCAGCCTTGCAACCGGAAGGTTGCTGGTTGCCGGTTCGATCCCCTGAGCCGACAGTACATCTAACCCCCAGCTGCTCCTGGGGCGCTGTGGATAGAGCTGCCCACCGCTCCGGGCAAGTGTGTTCACTGCCCCCAAGTGTGTGTCTTCACTAGTGTGTATGTGGTGTTTCACTGCATGGATGGGTTAGATTGTGGAGGTGAAATTTCCCCATTGTGGGAATAATAAGGGTCACTTAATTAATAGGTGTCAACCTCTAGAGACAGTAAACATTACATTCACAGCCTTCAAACTGTATAAATTCACTGACACCTACAAAATTTCTACCATTAAAAGTTATTAGAAACAACAGCAGCATTTTATCCATTTGAAATTACTGAAATTGGTGTCATTAAAAATATACGGTGTAAATTTTAATTTAAAACTTCTTAGTAACTACATTTCTTAGTAACTAAATTAACAACCTTGGGAACGCATTGTGAAAAACTGAGTTAGTCCAACTAAACCATTTACTCTAGAAGATGTTGAGCCAACTTAACTATTTAAGTTGGCAAAGGTGTCAAACTAACTTAATTTTTAAAGTTGTGTATCAGTTTGGCCAGTTGTTTGTCAATATTGAAGTCCATGCAAAATTTGATCAATATTTCAGTAAAAATGAAAGTTAATTCAATCCAATTTAGCTATATTCCTTACCTGTATTAAAACATAGGTGAAGTACTCATGGAGGGGCGTAATGACAGATACTGGCTCAGGGCTAGGGCCAGGAATGGAGCCCAGGTCAGGGTGAGGGCCACAAATGGGGGCAAAAGCCTAGAGTGGCAGGAGAGCCCAGCTTTATAACCTGGTCAGCAGCAACAGCCACAGGCGCTGGTTCAGTGGCTGATGGTGAGGATGTGTTTCAGTGATGGACGCTGGTGGTCTTGGTTCAGCAGTGGAGGCTGGATGAATGTTGTACTGAGAAGAGATGCAGACAGAGGAGCAAGCCCTGAAGGAGCAGCTCTGGGAGCCAGCACTGGATAGGTCAGATGAGTATAGGACTGGGCAGCTATCAGGTCAGGTTCTCACTTTTCAGTGTTCTCTGTAGTACTGGACAGTGCTGTGGGGTCAGGTGCCAGGTCAATGGTGCTTTCCAGAGCACTGGGCAGCCAAGTAAACATCCATGCCTATTTGACGGTGGCTGCGCAGGCATTCTTTGCACTGGGGGACTTCATGCTTACTGTGTCACCACTGTTCAGCAACACGGGCTGAAACTGGAGGTGAGTTTTTCCTCCACTCTTTCTTCAAATGCATAATTGGAGAAGGTCCCAAATTGGGCCAGCAATCAATCACTTTGCTTTGAAAAGCCGACACATGCAGCCCACTCCTCTAAACCCAGGTAAGAGCGAATGCTAAAAAAATCCCCACATCATGCAGCTCTCTATCAGAAGGTGGAGCTCTAGTCTTCTTTTTATAATGAGCACCTGAAAGATACATTGGCCTCCTTGAATAACTCGGTAATAAACTCAGTACTGACTCCTGCAGTCATTTTGTCTGTCTGGAGATCAGTCATGATGTTGTTCTGTGTCTTGCTGATGTTTACTCAGTTTGAAGGTGAGTTATTTAGCAGCATTTATGCTCATGACATGTTTTACTGAATTCATCCTGATACATCTCACTCCTAGTTATAAAATTTGATTTAAGAACCTCAAAGTATTTATTTTTCCTTTCTCAGTAAATACTGCTGCAGATGGAATATACTGTCACTTTCTCCTGTAACTACAGTGCAGCTACACTAGTCAGTATCCTGGATCCAGAGAAGAATTCCTCGTTTTCCTCACTGAGTACAATAACTGATCTGAACCTGCTCTTCATCTGACAGCAGGGGCAAACAGACATATTAAACGTGTGGATCTGAAGATCTCTACTACTGTAGTGTCAGACTCTGCACTGTACTACTGTGCTCTGCAGCCCACAGTTACAGAAAACTTAACTACACTCTACAAAAACTCACTTCACTCACACAAACAGTGCATTCAAAACTTTTGTAACTGGAAGAAGCTCTTACTCATGGAGTTCTTACAACTGTAGAAAGAGTCTTTTATCATACAAATAAGAAACAAAAGTTTCACAGTACTGTAAAAAACAAAGATGGATTATATGGTGGTTGGTTTTGTCAGCACTATGTCAATAAAACTGTACTGATTTACTGTTGCTGTTAAAGACATGAAAGTGCAAATGACTGTTCGAGTGTCATATGCACCAGCTTAAAGACAGGCGTAAATTAACCTTTAAAAGAGAGGAAAAACACCAGAAAAACTCTCCTTTTATTCTCACTATTCTTAAAGATCTTGACCCAAAGACATGTTACTGATGTTATTGCAAAATGAGTACAAAATCTAAAAAGAAATATTTTTAAGGCCCAAAGAAAAGTTTCTTCACAAATGTAAAAATCTTACTCCAGTTGTCACCTCATGTTACACCTACAGCTCTACTACTTCATGTTTCTTAAAGAGTTATTTTACAATAATTACATATGATTATTTTGGGTGCCATTCAAATAATTAAATTTATTTTGCACTCAGAACAGCCTGAATGTATCAGGACTCAATAAGGTGTTGAAGGGTCTCAGTATATCTTCAGTGCTTGTGTTCAGTTCAGTTCGATTTAGATCAGGTGACTGACATATGTATTATTGAAAAGATCCAAGGCATTTAAAAAGGAGTGTCTTTACTGAATACTGAAGGGTTGCACACACTGTAGGGCATAACTTGAATGTATAGTTATTATTACTGTAGCTGACGATGCATACATCAAAAACGAAGGACACAGACACAAGAGAATTCATAAAGTCAAAATATCAGTAACATATCATGGTTTAATGAAGATTATTTAAATGGAAAATGTATAGTATTAAACCCATTTCATGTATTAGACAAAAATGTCCCACTCATCTGATAATGTGCCACACTAAATTTAGTTCAACTAGATTAAGATTTGGTTACTGGGAAAACAAGTTAAATTCACTGTTGTGTCATATAGACAATGCTGGATTTCACACATTGAACTCCTGATTGGCAGTGAGGTTCAGATAATACTGTGATGTACCAAAATTTCTCTGAAAAGCCATGAAAAAACACCACATACCATCGTAACACCACTACCAGACTGATAGAAGCATAAACTTGTGGATGTTCTAATTAGTGTTACATGAACATATGTACTACATTTTGGCCACAGACGTCCCCTCTTTAACGGCTGAAATTACAATCCATGTTCACAATCCATGTTCTCACGAACACAAATCAAACATTAACAGATGAATCAGTGATGAAGAACATCAGGAGACAACAGTCCAAAGAAAGGGGAAACAGACCAGAACACACACATACACACACACGTTTTCTAAGCCGCTTATCCCCCCAGGTTGCAGGGCGTGCTTGAGTCCATCCCAGTGCTCATTGGCCAGAAGGCAGGCAACACCTTGGACAGGTCACCAGTCCATCACAGCAGACCAGAATATCTAAATAAATAAACAGGAAAAATTCTAAACAATGTTTTTTTATATATATGATATGGAAGCATGGAGATGTATTCACATAAAACCTCAAAATTAAGATAAGGGGAAAATCTCTATGCTAAATGATTAGAAGATAAAGAAATGAGGCATGACAGCAGTGTATTGTGATTGAGCATATGAGCTGCATTATGGGTGGAGCTGTGTATCTCAGCAGAGAGCTACACTAATCCCATTCAGCTCTGACTCTGCTCTCAGTCACTTCACATCTCTATCAACATGCTGCTCTCTATCCTTTCTCTCCTAGCACTGCTTTTAGGTAAGAGAACATTTATGACACTTGTTTTTTTGTCATGAGAAAAATAGAAGTTTAATTCTATAGCAGATTAATTTGAATGTTGTTTGAGAGATTCCAATTTAATTCCTTCAATATTGTTCTGTTTCCAGGAGACACATCAGCACAGACAGTTGTGCCACTTGCAGGTCAAATTCATGTTTCAGAGGGTGATAATGTTACTCTCTCCTGCAACTACAGTAACCAGTATGGTGGTGATGTTCTCCAGTGGTATCGTCAGTTTCCCAGATCCAGACCAGAGTTTCTCCTGTACATTAACCTGCAAGGGTCTAAGAGTGATCCTCCTCCTCGAATGTCTGTTGAACTTTATCAAGACAACAAGCGTGTGAATCTGGAGATCTCAACTACAGAAGTATCAGACTCTGCACTCTACTACTGTGCCTTGAGGCCCACAGTGACAGGAAACCCAGCTACACAGTACAAAAACCTCTTGGAATGTAACTCTGCACTTGATCATGTATTTTTGTTTCTGTACAATGTTGTACACACTCTTCCACCATGTCTGATATCAGCATTGTTCCATGATCATGTTGAAAATGGTGATTTAAAAACAAATGGACAAAAAAGAGAATCTCTGACCCTGTTAGAAGTAATTAATGACCTGCATTAGTTGTGACTCATACCTGCATGAAGTCACTTTTGTTTTGTCTCAGATAGCACTAAGATAAATATTACAAAAGTTCTGCTAAATGTTGGACCCATAATGACTGAATGCAGATCAGACTTCTGCTTAAAGCTACACTAAGCAAGCTTTGAGATTTGTACAATTCTCTCATGGAAATGTGCATCTAAACACAATCCAGAAGAACATTACAAAGTGTCAGCTGAACTTCAGAACCCACCATCCTGCCCACCCAAAGAGAGTGAGGCCATTTGGGATCTCTTAGACTCCTGGCCACAGACAGCTGTAGTATCACCAGGGATCAAACTCATGATGTTCTAATGATGGCCAACATTTACACGGTTGCACCACAGAACAGATGACACACTTTTTTCTCCTGACTCAGTAAAGCTACTTCTTTCAGTTTTAACAAAACAAATACACTGTGCAGCTTAAAATGATGAGGTTAAGACAGAAATTCAACAGAAAACAGACAGAAACATAGAAGGATTAACACCTCTTAGATATCTGGCTTATTTCAAAAGCAGAGTTTTAGTTAGTGTCTTTTAGTGTTTTTGGTAAATATACAATTTATTTATATCATGAATATTATTTTTACCATGAAAATACATGACATACCATCATCCCATCATCAACAGACTGATAGATTCAACAACTCATGTAGGATTTTGTAGTAGTAATAATAGTAGTAGTAGTTGTAATAATAATAATAATAATAATAATAATAATAATGACAGCAGTGTATTGTGACTGAGTGTATGAGCTGCATTATGGGTGGAGCTGTGTATCTCAGCAGAGAGCTACACTAATCCCATTCAGCTCTGACTCTGCTCTCAGTCACTTCACATCTCTATCAACATGCTGCTCTCTATCCTTTCTCTCCTAGCGCTGTTGTCAGGTAAGAGAATGTTAATGACTTTTGTTCATTTCCTAACTGTTGCAAAAAAATGTGCAATAAATAAATAAATATATTATATATTTTTCTCTTTAATAATCTGTTTCCAGGAGACACATCAGCACAGACAATTGCACCACTTGTAGGAGAAATGCATGTTTCAGAGGGTCATAATGTTACTCTCTCCTGTAACTACAGTACCAGCACTAATGATGCTCTTCAGTGGTATCGTCAATTTCCCAGATCCAGACCAGAGTTTCTCCTGTACATTTACTCACATGGGGCTTTGAGTGATCCTCTTCCTCCTCGTATGTCTGCTGAAGTTAAAGACAAAAAGCATGTGGATCTGTTGATCTCCTCTGCTGCTGTATCAGACTCTGCACTCTACTACTGTGCCCTGAAGCCCACAGTGACAGGAAACCCAGCTACACTGTACAAAAACTCTCAGCAAAATAACAATGACTCATTATTTTTAATGAACCTCAGAGGCTGAACAATGAAAGTTCAGAATGATAATGTTTATTAATATTTTATAATACTATCTTATTAATGTTTTTCATGGTGAAATTATGCAGAAACGGCAGATTTCTACAAAACTTGAAACATACACCTTGCAAGGAAACATGAATCAATAGTGATATCTTTTCTGAAAATCAATAGTATCACCAGGTTCCATATCACATCAAATAATCTTATTTTCATTTCAAACTACAGGTCCATTAATATTTTGTACATAATTCTTATAGTCTACATATTCCATTTATATTTGAACCATATTTAGGAAATCAATGTCTGTGTAGGCTCAGGGTGAAATAATGCTGCATTGACACACAGACATGTAATGAGGGAAATTGTCCACAGGAGGGTGGACTTCATCTACATTTAAAACCCTTTTGTTCAGTCTTAAAGAGAACTAGAAATAAAGAGAAGAACTGTTTCAAACATGTTTAAGATGTTATAGCAGCCTTTAAGCTAAATAATACTTCAGTTTAGTCACTGCACCACTGCACTGCCTGCCGTTCTGTGGCTTCTGTTTATCCTTTTAGGTGAAGCACTATTAACACAAATGCTGTAAAGATTATGTATTGTTTTTCAGTAAAGAGGTCAAGTGACATGAAATCAGTGTTATAGAGGGTTTGTTTTTTGCTTTGGCACATATTCTGCATGTCAGTACGGAAAAGTAATATGCATTGCATTTCACATTGAATTTCAATTTGGCATGAATTCCTCTCCATAACAGGGCTGATGCTGAATCTCAGTATATGTTTGTGGTTGATGTAGCAGTCGGGAAGGTGATATAGGAGGGGGCACGATTGGTAAGGAGGAAAATGTGGAGGAAGATGTGGACTTTGTGGAGGAGCACCTTGTGCTGTAACTGCCTGATCCATATTGCCAAATAGCTTTACCTCATGCTCGTGTTGGGATTTTTGCATCTGCAGATGTATCTGGAAATCATTAGACATTTTGGTAGCTATCATCTTTGTGAAAGCTTCAACAGCTGAATCAAATTATGACTTTTTTTTTCTCCTCTTTGTCCCCATACTGCTATCTGATAAAAATACAGACAACAGTTTAACAGGCTTCATAGTACAAAACACAGCTAAATTAGTTTTGTACTCATATACATGTGGAAATGTAAATGTATTCCTTTTATAGTTTTGGACATAAAAACAATTTGTGAATGTGTTAACAGGTAATGAACTACCATTCTCTAGTCATGACCCACAGGACCAATGCCAAACTTTTAATGTTTTTTCCATGATACGGTACAGTTACAATCTAAATCCAGAACTACCCACACCATGCTCCAAGCAAGGGAAACTAAAATTAGCCTAAGGCTGCTAGCCTCAGTGTACTTCTGCAACATTAAAAACAGTCTGTGCAGCGCTTCATTACACCATTAAACACACGGCCATCAATAACCTCACACTTAAAGCAATTTGGCTAAATGATGAAAGATTATAGGTAACAAAATTTAGATGGTTAATAAGACAGAAGCTTCTGTGCAAACATGCACGTGTGGGCTGTGAGCTGTGTGGGTTCAGCCTAGCTAATAGCTAAGTCTGTATTGGTCCACATTACTGAACCCACAGTGGGCCCCAAGGGGTTTCTGTTTGGGCAGTACACCACTGGACTACTCCACAGATAACCTGACACAGTCTCAAGTTCTTATGAAAAGTTGTCAGTCTCTCTTCCATTTAGGTATACAGACATTATTTTACCTTTATGACATTAGGGTGTCAACTTGTCCTCAATGTTGGTATATTAGTCATTTGAAAGTTGATATGCCATTCATTCTAAGTATATCCTGATTATTGGTGTATCAGTATAATTTCCATGTAAAACACATGTAAATGAAATAATGAAATAGCATTTAAAATTGGTTAATAAAAAGAAAAAGGTATGATCCCAGATTTAAAACGTATTAATAATATTTGATCTCAAATCAAACATAAACTCTCTATGTAGAAAAGCTTAGGTACAAAAACACTTAATATTGGAAGAGCTGAACTCATATGATATTGTTGTTTTTAATAATAATAATAAAGAATATGATAATAGTAGTAACAACAACACTTTATTAATGAGCTAAAAATGATTGGTTTAATAAAATTTGAATAATATTATAGTATCACTATAATTATTTAAAAGAGCATTTATTAGGATTAAGTCTAGTCTTGGTTCTTGTAACAAGAACAGACTTGAATGTACATTACATTTGTATAATGAAAATTAGGTCTGCATACAGAATACAACAATATTAGAATAAGTTTGTCTATTATTGCATTTTCATTTACCTTCCCACACTCAGGTTTGGGTGCACCACTATCATTCAAGTGTTAGTGCATGGCAAATAGTCATGACTGCTGGATGTCATATTAATATAAAATACTTAAGTTGTTGGGTGAAAATGAAACAATAGTTGGACTTTTGTGTGTGTCTGCCATTATAGAACATAAACTAATGAACGAATTATTAGTGTATGCAAAGCCCCTTAAGACCTTGTAAAAAGGAATAATAAATAAACCAATATTGAAAACAACTGAAATCAATGATTGAGGCATTAATGTCAGACTTTTGGTTTTTGTCACATGCACATTTGTTTTCGCATTTTTTTTTATTAATTTTATTATTGATTATTTTTTATATACAGACCCAGTTCCCCTAAATGTTTGTGAGTGTGTGTGTATGTTTGGAAGTTTCTGGAAATTGGACATTCTTCTTCTGCCTCACATGCAAATAAAATCTTGGTGAGCCGTATCTGTGGATGCTTCAATCTTTTGGATCCTGACAGATTGTTAATGGCTCAGCTGTAGCCAAACCCACACAAATCCACCCAGCCCCATTTAAAAGGCATTAAGTGTGGGTTGCCCACATATAACGTGAAACAGTGGGCACATGTGGGCCTCAATTTTGAAGAGCCATCCCAGCAATGGGCTAAACATGTGATCTATAAATGTGGCCCACCACAGGCTACCCATTGTAGAGCCCCAGTCAATCATAAAACAAGGGCACGTTTTTAAAACATGTCGTCAGTCCACCATAAGGCCCAATATGAGGGCTTAGTGTGGGCTTCCAGCATTTGGCCCTGCATGTGCCACAAGAGGGCTTAGTGTTCCCAACCACCTAGCCCATTTGTTAAATGGGATTGAACCACTCTGGTGCTACTAAGACTTTTTGATACTACTGGCTCCTAACCCTTTCATACATTAGTGTATGTAACTCAGACACTAACTCTTTGTTGCAAACATTGAAATGCTTGTAGACTTACCAGTGTCATGAGTGACATGGTAAAATCTGCACATTTACATTGCATTACATTGTAACATTAGTTCTCTTCCCAATTACAGACAAAGACAACGCTGTAACCTCAGAATATAACATTTATTAAACCACAGCATTTACATTTAACAAGCTCAACTTTTGTTTCTTACTTTGACTGAGTGAAATATTTTGAAATGAAAATAAAATAACAATAAACAGTTAAAAAAAAACAAAATAAAACAAACAAATTAGATGACCTTAATATCAGGAGCACTAATAGAACAATTTTAAAAGTAATCAATTCAACATTTTGGATTTTTTTCTGTTTAAATATTTAAATGAAAAAAATGAACTCAATTTTAAAATTGTTCATTACAGATATGATCAACATATATTTCATATTCCATTTGTAAACAGTTCAAATAAATCAGCAATTTCTAAAGACTTACATTTTAATATAACCTTTTTTACTGTATTTTAAATGTGAAAATGAACTAAATCTTAAAATGTCAATTTTCCTGAAAGATGTGAACATCAGAAATCAGAAAAT